ATCAATGGTTTCTTCTATTTCTCTCCTCCCTTCGGCAACTTTGCTCACCAACTGGTAATTGATTCATTGTTCCTGTATCTTCGTTTTGAAGTTCAAATTTGGGTCTCCTTTGTGTTTTTGCTTAATTTTTCGATTTTGGGTTTCAGGGAGAATCAATTATGTTCTCAGTCGGGTCTTTCCTCGTCGTGGCAGTGTGTTTGTTTCCGTAATCAGAAACGCAAACCTAAGCTCTACTTGATTCCCACCCGCCATTTTGCCTCCTCAGAAACCACTTCGAAGAAGCTGAAGATTTGTGCTACTTCCGGTGTTTCTCAAGTTCAAAGGTGAGAAATTGATTGATTGATTGCTGTTTTTTGGCTTAACTCAGAGAAAGTAGAATTTAGATCAGTTCTGTCCTGTCTATGAAGGTCTACTCATAGCAAAAATGTTAATGGGATGAAAGAATTTGAGATGGAGTTGCAAGAATTGTTCAATGAAGTCAAAGCTATGGTAAAGATTGGGAATGAAAGAGACGCAATGGACCTTCTTCGAGCTAATTATGTTGCTGTGAAAGAAGAGATTGATTCGGGTTTGAAAGGTATCGAACAAGCTGCTGTTCTTGACATTATTGCCTTGGGGTATATGGCTGTTGGAGACTTGAAACCCCTGCCGGCATTGCTTGATATGGTGAGTCTAAGTCCGATATCAGAAAATTGTTTCTTTAACCAGATCGTGTTGTGTCGATATTTTTTTCTATAACAGTACGTTAACAAATGCAGATAAACAAGATTGTTGATAAGTTAAAGGACTCTGAACCACTTTTGGATTCAGTACTTATGCATGTTGGCAGTATGTATTCGGCACTAGGGATGTTTGAAAATGCTGTACTCGCACATCAAAGGGCTGTTAGTATATTAGAGAATAGATACGGTAATGATCTTCTAAACCTGTGTTTGGTATATGTGCGTTCGTCTTGTCTTTGTTTGTCCTTACCCCAAAATTACTTCTCTGCTAGGTGAATGCAATACTCTACTTGTCACACCATTACTTGGGTTGGCTAAGAGTTTTGGTTCATATGGAAAAGCCACTAAATCGATTGGCCTTTACGAGCGTACAGTGACTATCTTGGAACGGGATAGAGGTTCTGAAAGTGAGGATCTAGTGGTGCCGTTATTTTCACTTGGTAAGCTTTTGCTCAAAGAAGGTAAAGCTCATGAGGCAGAAATTCCTTTTACCAGGTACAGCATTTGGTCAAAGTTTTTGTACTTCTTATTCGCAGATCATGTCATCCATTTAGTTAATCGTCTTTCCATCTTCTAGGATTTTAAATATATACAAGAAGACATACGGAGAGAAAGATGGAAGAGTTGGTATGGCCTTGTGTTCCCTTGCTAATGCAAAGTGCACAAAAGGTGGGTTATATATAAATTTCCCATTCTCTCTTGATGTGGTGTAATAAAAATTTTTTTTTCAAGAAGATGGTCTTGTTCCTCGGGTTTTCTCAACAGGCGATGCAGATGAAGCGGTAGACCTCTACAAGAACGCTCTACGAATCATCAAAGATTCAAATTATATGGCCGTAGACAATGCTATCTTAGAAAACATGAGGATAGATCTTGCTGAGCTGCTTCATTTTGTTGGAAGGTAAAGCTTTTTCCTTTCATCTTCTTCCTGTGATTGAGAAACTCAATAATATTAGCTTTCACTTGGCTCTGTTTGCACAGGGGAAACGAAGGACGAGAGCTACTAGAAGAATGCTTATTAATAAACGAGAGATACAGAGGGAAAAACCATCCAAGCATGGCTACACATCTTATAAACCTTGCAGCATCATATTCACGCTCCAAGAATTATGTGGAGGCCGAACGATTGCTGAGAACATGTTTGGAGATCATGGAGAAGTCGGTTGGTTCAGAGGATCAGTCCATAACCTTCCCAATGCTGAATCTTGCAGTCACTCTTTCTCAACTGAACCGTGATGAAGAAGCCGAGCAAATAGCCTTAAATGTTCTACGAATCCGTGAGAACGCATTTGGCAAAGACTCTCTCCCTGTTGGTATATAGATCTTTCCTCTCTCTATAACATTTTCATTCTTTATGGAATTTTCCTGATGGGTCTTTGTCATCTAAAACGTAATTCAACAAAGTCTGACTTCTGTGGACTAAAGTTTCAAACTTCTTGTTATCCGGAAGTGATGGTAAATCTTATACGCAGGCGAGGCGCTGGATTGTTTGGTATCGATTCAGGCGAGATTAGGAAGAGACAACGGAGAAGTGCTCGGTTTATTGAAAAGGGTGTTGATGATCCAAGAGAAAGAGTTTGGTTCATCAGGTGAAGAACTCGTAATTACTCTGCAGAAGATTGTGCATTTTCTGGAGAAACTGGAGATGAAAGATGAGAAATTTAAGTTTAGGAGAAGGCTAGCTTTGCTTAGAGAGAGATACAAGCAGAGTCTTAGCTTCTAAAACATATTTTTCTCACTGTCTTTTATGTAGAGGCTAAAGATTTATATCATATCATCATCTGTTTGAAATTTGTATTCTTTGATTCTGGACCCGACCCAGTGAACTTTAATTTTCAAAAAAGTCGAAAAGTCGAAAATTGATGTTGATTAATTATACAAAGAAGCCAGGTGGATTTAGCTAAGAGAGATTAAAGTAATGAATCACGCGAATACTGTTTTTGTCTTCTTCTTCTCTCTAGCTGCGTGCGTGCGTGGTGGTGTGACAGATCTCAGGAAGAAGATGAGCAGTGAAACGGCGTCGTCGAGGAGGAAGAAGAAGGAAGGTTTGGGGTGGATAGAGTGGATGAGAGGATGGGTTTGCATATTCCACGAGTTTCTGTTCCAGAGATTCATGGCTTCTCACTTACCGAATCCATTTCCTCTTCCTCCACTCAATCACCTCACCTGCATTGTCACTGGCTCCACTAGTGGCATTGGTACCCAAACCGCTAGGTCTTTTTTTCTTCCGATTTATTCTACTCAATTTGCCTTCATTTTGACCAAAAATTGATTAACGTGTTGGAATTGGTTCTTGTTTATGAGTAGATCTTTTGGTTACTGTGTTAGTGAAAATCTTTCGCAGGCAGCTTGCAGAAGCTGGAGCTCATGTTGTGATGGCGGTGAGGAATACAAAGGCGGCTCATGAGCTTATTCAACAATGGCAGAACGAGTGGTCCGGTAAAGGCCTCCCACTTAATATCGAGGTAAATATCTGATCATCACATGTTTTAGACTATGCAATCTATATTTAGCATGTGTTGCTTGGGCTAAATCTAGTCAAGAATGTGTAATTCACAAGATTTTTATACTTATTTTACTTCGTAGTTAGAGAAAGATATATGCAATTCCCCACCTTACTGTCAAATGGAATTTGGATTACTTGTTATCTAATTAGATAAGGATCGATAGATTTCCGGATATTAAGTGTGGTGAATGTTGTTTGACATACATCCAAATGGCTGATGATGATATATATACTATATGTTTCTTTCTCTGAAGGCGATGGAACTTGATCTTCTTTCTCTGGATTCTGTCGTCAAATTTAGCAATTTGTGGAACTCTCGGTTAGCTCCTTTGCATGTTCTGATTAACAATGCCGGCATATTTGCCATGGGAGGTTGGTTTTTTCGCTTTTTTTACTGTTAAGCTTTCTCTGTTATATTGGCGAGCTTACTGTTCTGCACTTCAATTAGTGAAGCCATACTTCTGCACCATTCACCATCGTTCATACTTTGACTTGATGGACCCCATTAGTGAAATTTGCATTATATTTATTTAGTAACCGGTTTCCATGTTTTGTTCTTTTCACCGTGTGTGTTTTCTTATCAATGACCTTCATACTGCTACATTCTCTTCCGTATATGTATGAGGAAAAGCAGCTAAGTTGCTTCCCACTTTGATTTGTGCAGAGGAACAGAAATTCTCAAAGGATGGATATGAACATCACTTGCAAGTGAACCATTTAGCTTCATCGCTGCTTTCACTACTCCTTGTGCCCTCGCTTATCCAAGGCTCCCCAAGTCGAATCATTAATGTTAACTCTGTTGTAAGTATCATCATCACTAAAACTGCCAGATGCAAAAAAATTTCCTCTAGTATTGTATTCTCTCTTGTATCAGTATTCACTAATGCTGAAATGTTTGGATTTTCTTAGTATTCAGAACCTAAACAAACTGAAAGTTTCAATCCCTTTATATACTAACACAATTAGAGTCTACCAGCTGTCTCTGCTTCATTTTCTTATTTGTCTGAATTTCTGCTTTTATTGAATCTAATACGAATAACAACGTTCTATTTATAGTCTGAGGTTATTCATGCAAGTTGTTGGGTTTACTTCTTTTTTTATAGATGCACTATGTCGGTTTTGTTGACCCGGATGACATGAATGTTGTTTCTGGTAGAAGAAAGTATACAAGCCTTGTAGGATATACGAGCAGCAAGCTTGCTCAGGTAAACTCACACAAAACAGCATTTAATATTTTTTCTCTTGTTCTTGATCTCAGAAAGGAAACTAATGGATTTACTTTCTATTTCCCTTCAATTTTATCTGGTCAGGTTATGTTTAGCAATGTTCTTTTGAAAAGGTTGCCTCTAGAAACTGGCATTAGCGTTGTTTGTTTATCCCCCGGGATGGTCCTAACAAATGTTGTGAGTATGACTTTAATTTGTCTTTCCATTGCTCTTTCCTCAGAACTTATATAACGTTAACTTTTCAACATCAAATTATGCAGGCGAGGGATCTGCCGAGATATGTACAAATTCTATACGCGCTCATACCTTATTTCATCTTTTCGCCTCAAGAAGGTTGTAGAAGCTCACTTTTCTCAGCGACAGATCCTCAGATTCCAGAACATTGTGAAAAGCTAAAAGCCGGTGATAAGCCCATTTGTCCATTCATATCTCAAGAGTGCAAGCACACAAAGTCTTCGGAAGAAGCACACAACGTAGAAACAGCAAACACAGTTTGGGAAAAGACGATAGAGCTCATCGGTCTTCCTCTCGATGCATTGGAGAGGCTAATAGAAGGAGAAGAGGTCCAATGCCGTTACGGAACTCATCAAGAATAAATATTTCTCCCAAGTCTATTACAAGGTGATAATAACCTCTTTCTTGTTTTCTCCATTTTATACATGTTCGAAGCTTCTGGAATTTGATCTCAAAGCTGCATTACACTACACTACACACATTCTGAAAGATGAAGGATCAGTCTCCACAAATATAGCTTACATAAAAAAATTCAGCAATGTGTTTTTTTCTTTTTTTTCTTTTGAGAAAGGACAAAACGGCTTTCTTTGTATGTTACAGGATGCTTTGATTATTGGTTTTATACCTTTAGTTCCCTATTGATATTTTATGAAATTTGCTTTCTAAAATTTCCTAAGTTACACCTAAATTAAAACAGAACTCCCATGACTCGTAGAAACTGAACTTCATAAAAATAATATTTGTTTTGAATCTTGATAAAAAAAAAAAGTCTTTGAAATTACATTACGTATATGCTTGCAAATACAATACTATATCTCACCGATCAAAACTGCCATAAACTCAAATGCCTTACGATGGAACTACCATTACGTACATACGCAAATGGTTGCATAACAACAAAGTTACTTAAAAAGTAAAAAGACAGATGCAATTCTTTTTTTTTTTTAAATAAATCAACGTATAGAAAATGAAAAAACAAGATGGCATTCAAGTCGAAGTATTTCCTACGTCAATAATTTTTTTTTTTTTATTGTACGGTGTAGTTGATATATATCCATACAATAACTACATTAACACTAACTTAATTGAAAATTTTCAATATCTTTTAGCAAAAAAAAAAAAAAATACTAATAACCAATAACCAGTAACCTACTAATTATTATAGTAACGGCAAGCGGGAGTTACTTAAACCACCAAATCCGAGGCGTGACAGGCTTTTAGTAAATCAAAATTGTTTATCACGTTTCTAAGTTATAACGCATTAATAATCAAATATATAATCCCCTTTGTCTTTCTCTAGATACGTCGTGAACTCCGTAGAGAAGAAGAGGATGAGTAGTGAAACGGTGTCGTTGAAGAAGACAAAGAAGAAGGATGGTTTAGGGTGGATGGTTTGGTTAAGAGGATGGGTTAATGTTTTGCAAGAGATTCTTTTGCAAAGAATAATGGCTTCTCACTTACAAAACCCATTTCCTCTTCCTTCTCTTAACCACCTAACATGCATTGTCACTGGCTCCACTAGTGGCATTGGCTCAGAGACCGCTAGGTCCCAAAATATTCATAAACAAAACTTTCCTTTAGCTTTTCACGTTGTTTTTGATTTTTGGTGTTAGAGAAAATTAAACTTTTTTTTGTTGTGTGTGAAATTGCAGGCAGCTTGCAGAGGCTGGTGCTCATGTTGTTATGGCCGTAAGGAACATTAAAGCTGCTCATGAGCTCATTCAACAATGGCAGACCAAGTGGTCTCATAGTGGTGAGAGCCTTCCACTTAATATTCAGGTATTGATTTTGATTATTTTCTATATCAGCTTTATAGTACATTCCATGATCATAGCCGTTTTTGATTATTTGAAATACCTAAGTGAAATTTTTTGAATCAAATTAAAGAATAAAGCCCCCTTACTATGACAACACCAAAAAATAGTATAGTTCATGAAGCTATATACTATGACAACTATATTTAGCATGGAGTGCATATTTGGCTAGCTTGGAGTTATAAAATGTAGCCAAAAATTAATGTATCATTAAGAATTTTATGGTATTTCGTTGAGATCCACATATGTAGTTGTAGAAAACAATGTAAGAACTACTAGTAATCCCTTTTTGGTTTTAATGTTAAGATGGACCCCTCTCTAATTGTTTGGATTAGTAATAATAAACTTCACTCTATGTTGCCATAACATCCAAATTGTTAACAATTTTTCTATGTTTTTTGAATTTTTTATCAAGGCGATGGAACTTGATCTTCTCTCTCTAGATTCCGTTGTCAGATTTAGCAATGCGTGGAACGCACGGTTAGGCCCTTTGCATGTTCTGATTAACAATGCCGGCATGTTTTCTATGGGAGGTTTGTTTCTATTCCATTTACATTTTTTAGGTGTTATAAGTATTTAA